TCTGTTTTGGTTATTTTCTGTTCTGTTACAGTTCCTGTTTTGTAACTGTTCCTTTTCCTGGTTTGTTATAGTTATTTACTGTTCTGTTGCTGTTCCTATTCTGTTATTGTTATTAACTGTTACTGTTCTGTTTTATTTATTTACTGTAACTGTTCTGTTATAGTTCCTGTTTCGTTATATTTGTTATAGTTATTCACTGTTGCTTTTCTTTTACAGTTCCTGTTCTGCTATAGTTATTTACAGTTTCTGTTATGTTACAGTTCTTGTTCTGTTATAGTTATTTACAGTTTCTGTTCTGTTACAATTCCTGTTCTGTTATAGTTATTTACAGTTTCTGTTCTTTTACAGTCCCTGTTCTGTTATATTTATTTACAGTTTCTGTTCTGTTACAATTCCTGTTCTGTTATAGTTATTTACAGTTTCTGTTCTGTTACAGTTCCTGTTCTGTTATAGTAATTTACAGTTTCTGTTCTGTTACAGTTCCTGTTCTGTTATAGTTATTTACTGTTCCTGTTCTGTTACAGTTCATGTTCTTCTGTTATAGTAATTTACTGTTACTGTTCTGTTACAGTTAAAGTTACTTTACTAAAAGTGTTTCTTTGGTGTTTCTATTTCTTACTTTTACTGGTATTGGTTTTCTACTTTAATTATTTGTTTCAGCATCAATGATTTATAACTGCTAATTTTATCTTAAAGAACTTTTAAATTTTTTAAAAGATAAGTTACTGGTTAATATTTGTTTAATATTTTTGAAAAACTTCCTGTATTGTTTCAGTTTAATTACTATTATGTTACTTACTAACACTTGTTAACGTGTACTTTTAATTATTGCAGGAATCACGTGACAGCGATATTTGATCAACCATTAACGGAAGAACACTGAGGATTCACTAGATTTGCAACATTGGTGCTGACTATTTTGTACTGAAGAGATTAAAGAACGGAGCCCTTGAATATTTGGCTGTTCAACAAATCTTTGAAGTTTTGCTGGATCACCAGGGTTGAGAATACATTATAACTTGCATTCAGGGGTATTACACTTCGTATATGTTAAGAATGATACTCAGAAAAAGTCACATGTTTACAAAGATCACATAAGTTAGGACCAAGTTGCCGATGTCGTCCTTAATGTCGTCTGGAGAGGAATTCGCCACATAATCGGCATACTTTTATTTTCTAAAATTTGACTGTAAAAAGTTAGTTATCTTAAAATGTAGTGTAAAAAAATCTTTTATCAGGACAGTGTTACATAAATGAGTAACAAAAATTAAAAAAAAAATATTGACCTCACACCTTTTAGAGGAAGTATAACAAATAACATATAACTGTGTATGCAGTATCTTGATTTTTTGACATCATAATGTGTTTTTTCTGTAAATAGTGCGTTTTAAGTCATTTTTCGTACACAGGAAAAATAATACAGGTTGAAAATATGTTTTTAAGATAGATTTTTCAATAAACTAACTTCCAGTCGTCTAAACACTTTAAGTTTAATCGACAACATTTCTCAATTTCTGTAACATTTTAACGCCGGATGTACGCAGTATCCAGAATCAAAGTCGCATTCAACGCAAAATGCTGACGAGAAAGGGAAGACAATGGAATACAAAAACTAGAAGTAATGGCATCTTCTTTGCAAAAGAAATTAAATTCAAATCTATTCTGATTGCTTTACAGGACTCGGTTTTGTTCAAAATACCGGTTAATAAAGTGTTCGCGGTATCAGAATTTTGGGGATGCGCGCGCATCGAATGACCCCCTTTAAAAAAGTACTAATTGACGATTTTTTAGCGTTCTAGCAGGGGAACAGGGGCAGGGTTAGGTGGGGGTCCAAACACTAATACTGCCATCTGTGGATAAAGGTTCGTCTTGCACCGCAGATACGATCAGGGCACAACAGATACAATCAGACGATAAAACAATTTATTGATGTACCCGAACTTTTAATATTGTAATGTGAACCACTGAACTGACCAAAGAGTACAGGGATGATATCAAAGTTTAGTCATTAAAGATAAGATTAAACTTTTTTATTTCACATGAATAAAACCTTTCTTATTTTATCGATCATTATAACTGTATATCAATACGCATGCTCAGCTAGAGAGCTATATTTACAACGCTATATAAGGAGCTACGTGACCAGGCTGCGTCCTTTTCGTTCTGGGACTCTATGACAAAAGGAAACGGCTGATCATATTTTAAAACTTTTTGTAAAAAAAATAATAACAAATTAGCTTTTTGATTTCCTTCCCTCAGCAAACCTTTTTTTCTGCTGTACCTTGTTTTATATTTCAGGAGGCAACAACAATCACCCTACACGTCGTCATGACTGGAACAAACAATATTCATGACGGAGACAAATGTTATATGCTGGGCGACGGGGTACTTCAATTACAGACGATTGCTAATCAAAAAGGTAGTGGTCAATTGCTTGTTTGCAACCGATGTCGGTGCTCTTGCAACACTATGATATGATCCAAAGGACACCAAACATGTCTGTGTGAAATATCAGACATACATAACACGCGTGACTGTTGTCGGTGCATATTAATTGTGTTAGCAACATTTCATATTCGACTACTCCTCTCAGCTGAAATTTAAAATAACGTTTTTTCTATTTGCGACCGTTGTCGGAGCAAATATGGTGTGTATATAAAGTTCTCAAATTTTATATACCCAGTCATGATGTAAGTTATGCGCAACAAGGAATAAAAAAGTCATTACAAAAAATGATGTATTTCTTCTTGTATAAGACTGATTTGCGATTTGCAATGGCCTCTCAGGTTCAAACAAGCAAATATCTTCAAGAATTCTCTTATTATACATTCATCGGAAACTATTAAATTTATGTTCCATATTATATGTATAATTTATAATTACATTGTTTGAGATATGTATTTTCAACTGTTTGCACACTCAGTTTGAATGGAATGCTGTAGGGCGTTCTCCTACGGAATGCCGTTAGGGCCATCGCCTATAAATGTGTTGATCTAAAACGCGATAGTCGATAGTACGATGGTGAAAACGCGAAATCACGAAACTACAATGGTGAAAACGCGAAAGCACGATGATGAAAACGCGATAGTACGATGATGAAATCGCGACAGTACGATACTACGATGATGAAAACGCGATAAACTATCGTGTTTTCACCATCGTACTGTCGCGTTTTCACCATCGTAGTTTCGTGATTTCGCGTTTTCATTATCGTACTGTCGAGTATCGAGTTTCAGACCAAACCATTCATAGGCGATGGCCCAACGGCATTCCGGAATGCCGTAAAGGCCATCGCCTATGAATGTGTTAATCTGAAACGCGATAGTCGATAGTACGATGGTGAAAACACGAAATCACGAAACTACGATGGTGAAAACGCGAAAGTACGATGATGAAAACGCGATAGTACGATGATGAAATCACGACAGTACGATGGTGAAAATGCGATAGTACGATGATGAAAACACGACAGTACGATGATGAAAACGCGATGGTACGATGGTGAAAACGCGATAGTACGATGGTGAAAACGCGATAGTACGATGATGAAAACACGACAGTACGATGATGAAAACGCGAAATCACGAAACTACGATGGTGAAAACGCGACAGTACGATGGTGAAAACAAGATAGTTTATCGCGCTTTCATCATCGTAGTATCGTACTGTCGCGTTTTCATCATCGTACTTTCGCGTTTTCATCATCGTGCTTTCGCATTTTCACCATCGTAGTTTCGTGATTTTGCGTTTTCATCATCGTACTATCGACTATCGCGTTTCAGATCAACACATTCATAGGCAATGGCCCTAACGGCATTCCGTATTCTCCTGGTTCTTTTGTGTGCTCAGGATATTTTTAAAAAAATATTTTCTATGACACCCAAAGCTAATTCAAATTCATTTGACTAGATAGACACTTGATACGAACAAATTAAAAAAAAAAAAAAAAAAAAACCCTTCAATTACATGTTAACGTATCAATTCACGATTATCATAGGCCAGATATTTGTATATTTGCAAAAAATACAAACATCAAAAATTAAATAAATGTGCCAACTTAAGGCAACAAAGTCTATTCTTATGAATTTTTTCTGTCAAATATTGGCCCATTCAATCAAAATACTGAAATGTATTCATAACGACGCCTTTACTTAAAGTGAAAAGCATTTCATCTATGAATTTTTATCATTAAAATTTGTTTTAACGTAAAGATAGGCGTTAAGACCTTTACGTTTAAATCCACTTTAAAGGAAAATGAATATAAATTTAAATTTTGGAACTTATTTTCAGGTACACACTTAAGATTCTTAAATGTAATCAAAACTTTCAGTATATTTAAGACGTTAAGTGACTTATTCTTTAGGGATGCGATAGGTAGTTACTGTAGTAAAGCGGCAAAATGTAATTTGAAGATATATGCAATTGTTGATCTTTGAGCAATTTATTTGAAAGATTTATCAATATCAAATCATGTTAGAATTTATATAACTTCTTTTTCAACATGTGACAAGCGTAAGGTAAAGTTTGTTGTAATTATGTTCATTTCTTGTGATTATTTCATTGATATTTTTTTATCAGTGCTATAAATTACTAAAGACTTTTCTGGATGGAAAAACTGAAAGTGTTGCAGGCCTGGTTTGATTGATCATTTTGATGGACCGTAATTTAAAGAGAAAGCTACACCCCTTGCACCGGCTTAGGCAGAATGCAACATTTTATATGAAGTTGAGAAACATCCACGGATGTGTTCGTGCGGCGGTAATCACCGAAACTTCAATGTGACACATGAGTGCCATTCCAAGATAACCGGTACTTGGTCCCCAAGTAAAATATAGCGTGTGCACTAAACGAGAAAACAATCCAGACAAAACTAAATGAAATGCAATTTTGAAGGGGATAAGCGGTTATGAAATAATATATGATACACGATAATACATTTTTCCAGCATTATATGATTTTAATTCAGCGTAGCGTAGCGCATACAAAACAGTAACTCTGAAAAGTTTTCTAGGAACATTTAATTATTTTCTAAATTAGTAACAAAACATGTTCAATGAAGAAACAACAATATAAGCTGTTATCCCTCTTAGCACAAATCGTTTCTGAAAAATACAATGAAATACAGACTACAATTCCTCTTTGTTGGAAACAAAGAAACACAAATAATTATGTTATAATAATGTATATGAGAGATAGTACGGTATTGTGGTACTGTATTACTCTAGTAAATGATGGACGCATGTGTACACAAAATATACATGCATGCTGTGAGACAAATACACAAATACAAGTATGAATTATCATTTTTGTCAAAAACCACATGCGGTCAAATTACTCTTATTATTTCTTCAAGAGTTTAATGTTTTATGTATTATGTATCCAGGAATGTATCTAAGTAATAAAGGACATTACATGTAGCTTTCTAGAAAATCAGTGCATATACTGCAATTAAAAATTTACGACTGTTTTCAAAAACTTTTAAAGTCTACTTTAAATTTGTCAATTACGTCAAAGTCGTACATATACACTATGTATTTGGTTTAAAAGTGATAGTTTTATGTTTTAAAGTACCGTACTGTGATGACCAATAATAGAATTTAAGACCGGAAATCACAAAGAAAACCTACATTTAAACTAGTATTTTCCGTATCTCTTTCCGCCTGTTCGTCTGAAGCTTCCTCCGCCAAATCCTCCAAAACCGCTACCGAAACCGCCACCGAAGCCGCTACCTAATCCAACACTATAGCCGCCGTAACGACCGCCATATCCACCGTATCCGCCGCCGCCATAACCGCCATATCCACCGAGACTGCCATAGCCTCCTAGAGATCCATAACCACCATATCCTCCAATACTTCCATATCCTCCAATACTGCCATATCCTCCAATACTGCCATATCCTCCAATATTGCCATATCCGCTACCTAGCCCAATGTAACTGCCACCTAGTGAACCATAACCGCCTCCATATCCTCCATATCCACCGCCGTATCCACCATAACCAATACCTCCTCCTCCATAACCCAATCCACCATAACCTCCCCCGTATCCTCCATAGCCACCGAAACCTCCATAACCACTGCCATAACCTATTCCACCCCCACCATAACCTGATCCAAAGCCACCGCTTCCGTAATAACTACCTGTTACGTTAAGATATACGTTAATTTTATATTTTCTTTATGACAATTTGAATACTAATATTTATTATCCCACCGCTGGGCTTTACATTTTTCGTCTAAATGACTATTGACATCGGCAGCTCCAATAACAATACAATTCATAAAATATCGCAGAATGGACGGTTTTTTTATTTTAATTTACAAGACAGCATAATTAAATCTGTAAGTTTTTTTTGACAAATGTTAATAGTTTTTACGAGTTCTCGGAATGTTCTAATATTTATCCCGGGAGGGACGCTGCTACAAGTAAAAAATATTTATACACCTACCATAACCGGTCATAGCCGAGGATACCGCTATACATAGTGCTAGGCAAATAAGTTTATACATCGTTAACGGCTGAAATTAGAAATAGGTTTCAAATAATCATTTATATCGAATTTCCTTCTCATATTGAATCAGAAAGAAAAAGAATTTTAGATATAGATTAATTAACAGAATGAAACGGCAAACTAATATTTTCTATTTTATTTTCAGTCATCGTCATCATTGATAAATGTCTTACAGAGAATGTGCTTTAATTTGTTTTATGACTTAAAACATATTTTAATATTTTCTTGCCTAAAAGTTGTCACTTACACACTTCTAGTAAAGCTACAGTCTCACTTACATCCCGGCAGAGCCCCGGTAGACGTCCGGGGTGATCCGGGAACGACCGGGAACAACCGGGGTACATCCGTAACTCTGCCGGCAACGTCCTGGATGATCCGGGATGATCAGGGAACATCCGGCATTCGACCCCGGATGGAATAAAATATTTAATATCACCGGGTTGGTCCGGGATGATCCGGGAAGGTATAGCTTTGCCGGCTTCATTCTTAGCTCTGCCGGGAACGACCGGGGTTATACCGGGAAAGCACCATAGCTCTGCCGGCACAAACCGGGGATGATCGGGTGTATGATTTAACCGGTAGAGCTACGGTAGAGCCTTGGGATATGCTGGCAGAGCCCCGGTAACTACAGGCAGAGCCCCGGAGGATAAGGCCGCTTTTCCATTTATACGTGATCAGTGGTCCGCGTCCGTCATCCGCATCTGCTACCGATCCGCTAATCAAAGAATACGTTGAATCTATTCCTTTTGTCCGTTTACCATCCGCTTCCGCGACGGCATCCGCGACGTTTCGCAGGATGAGCGATTTTTTACGGACGTGGACAATCACTGACATGTCTCATCCCTACAAAATGCCTCGAACGAAATTAAATACTTTATCAATTTCGAAAGAAAATACCAAAGAGCTCACCAAAATAGTGTGGGAGAACCTATAAGTTTATGATGCAGCAAGGACAGATTAAAATAAACAACATCTGGGCTTCGGTTGCTAAAGAGATGTTATTTGAAAACCTAACTGATATTCAATGTTTGTTACCTAATTCTTTGATGTTACAACTGTTTTTTTGGTATTAGAATGAAATTATATCATATTCTACAAATAATTACCTCTGTTCGCTATACTTCAAATAAAAGTATATAGAAAATAACGTATCTATGGAATAATACCCACGGACATGCCCGGACACGGATCACTGACGCGGGTCACGGATCATGTACTAATGGAATAGCGGCCTAAAGGTAGAGCTACGGTTGATCCCGGTAGAGCCCCGGCAAAGCCCGGATCATTTCAAAAGAATAACGACAATTTGCGATGATTGCACTTGTTTGTATTAAAAGCCTTCCCATTTTCCTTCTATCCAGTATGGCATAAGGATTTTTCAGAAAATCATCATGAATTACTATTCTGAAACAATAGATATCATATTAAATAAAAATTATGTATCAATGTTATCATTTTCGGGTATTTCAATCCACCGGGGTTCTACCGGGGCTCTGCCTGGATCGTCCCGGGTTCTGCCGGGGCTCTGCCTTGATCGACCGGGGCTCTGCCTGGGTCAACCGGGGCTCTTCCGGCGTCATCCGGGAACGACCGGGGAAGCACCGGCATGCTCTGCCTGGATGTTCCGGAGCGCATCCTAGGTGGTTAGTAGGGAACTACCGTAGTGCTGCCGGGGTAAGTGTGACCGCAACAATAATTTCATCCCGGATCGTCCCGGATCATCCCGGTAACTTACCGGAATGGTCCTGGGCTCTGCCGGGAGTAAGTGAGACCGAGGCTTAAAGAATAGAGCTATATACATTGAATCTCTCTATCGCTACTTTGGAGCTAGTGCATTGATGTAATATCAATAGAGACAAAGTGTTTTCAAACTATATATTAATTTAAAGCCCTAAAGACCTCGTGCATGTCGTTCAAGACAATTATAACCGATACAGACCGCGGGCAGTTACAGACCTCGTGTACGTGAATCTGAGTTCACATATATTATAACAGTAACAAACAGTGTTTACTTTATGACAGATACAGACCGCGGGTACGTAATTCATGACAGTTACATATCTTATGCACGTGAATCATGACAGTTACATACCGCGCTTACTTCATGACAGTTACAGACCTTATGCACGTGCATCATGAAAGTTAAAGACCGCGGGCACTTACTTCATGCTAGTTACATACCGAATACAAAAACATCATGACAGTAAAATACCTAGTGCACGTACATCATGATAGGTATAGTCTGCGTACACGTGTTTTTGACAGTAACAGACACGTGTTTATGCATGAACAGACTGAAGGTACAAACCACGTGCATGTACACTATGATAGAGACAAACGACGTGCACGTTCCTCAGTACAGTTATATATCTTAGGCTTGCTTATTTTGACAGGTACAAACCTCATCTTTGTACAATATTACAGTTATATACATCGTGCACGTGCTAGAAACGTCATGTTTTACATCATTATAAGTATAGACATCGTGTTCGTACAGAATGGCAGTTAAAGTGCTCATGTCCCGATATTACAAATGTACTTTAGTTTTAGACTGTATGCATCTTGACAGTTACAGTCCATATACACGCAAAGAACTGTAAGCACAACCACATGCACGAGCGTGTTCATCATGCCAGACATTACTTGGGAACAGGCAAATCAAAACGATTGTTTTTATTGTTGTTGTTGTTTTTTTCATTGGGAGAATGTCTGCGATTTTTAAAATACAGTAAGAAAACTTTGTACTTTTGGTTAAAAATGAGATATTGATCTTATCTTTATTGATAGGTGTAAAAATTGACAAAATTTCTCTGTTTATTTAAATGCAACTTGAGATTATATTGAATAAAATATCGAAAAACAAATAGTTTTCATTTAATTAATATAATGTTAATATTATAACATTCTTACCTTTCTGGCGTCCCTTTTATCAATGATAAAACTGCATGTTGTGGGGCGTTGTTTATATACCCATAAACTAGATTCTACTAGATTTGGACGTTATACCTTACGTTAACGCCTGTTTAATTACATTATATTGAATTTTGTTCTGTTATTGATTGATAGATGGGAGACATATATTATTTTTCTGACCATAATTGTAATAATACCTTCACAAAATGTGACATTTACAGATGTACAATCATCGTGTAGCTTATTAAAAGTATATTTGGCTGTGATGCCGGGAGAAATATATCACTTAATTGGTGTTGATGACATGTTACGGTATGTAGAAAGTTCATCTTTACTTTCTTCGCGTCAACAAACAAACTTGTAGTTAATCAAAGTTCTAACATTTTTCTGATTAACAAATTGTGATTTCATTTGAATCTATTGTTATTTTCTTTACCACGAAATGAAATGACATATATTATAGGCAAGCATACAATGGTTTTTAGAAAAGTATAGGAAAGTTTTTATAAAAATACAATTTAAGTATAACACACAGTTAAGCAGCACTTACAGTGATGAATTCATGTTCATGAAATTATGTTCAAATATGTTCATTTTTTAAAATTATTTTTCTTCATCGGCGTTGTTGTCACACATAGAGTATTTCTATTTATAAGACCCTCTCGCACACTAGCTTCATATCCCGTCAGTGTAAAGAATTTTCCACATTTATATATTCACGATCATTCTTTATATCTCGTAACAGGTAGATACAAACATATCAAATTTCAACAAAGACTGGGATTCGAACTCGCGCTCACCTGCTTACTAACTCAGAGACAACGTTCTATACTACTGAACAAAAGCCCTGCACTTAGAGTGTTTTTCGATTTGTTTACCCCACTCATACATGTGACAAGTGCCCTGGCGCAATTGTCAGAGGTGTACTCAACCGTTAAACATCCCCTCTTCAGAAAGTCATTATTGATTATTGCAGAATGATTTGATTTTCAAGTCAGAAACTATTTTTGTTGTAAATCAGAATTTTAAAACTTATTGTTGGAAGCAGGTATCCCGGACGAATTTAGTTTGTAGCGTCAAGATGCAACTGCATCAAACAAATTCGAGCTCTCGGCACTTAAATAAGTAATTCTTCACATCACTTAGCTAAAGAAACGATTCTCTGACGCAGTTTCCAGTTGCTTATTATAGTTTGAAGGTAGGTGGGCAAGTTAATATTTTAAAAAATGGACCAGAATGTTATAAAATTGAACTCATTTAATGCGAGCCTCTGGCGAGCATGATATTATTTTATTAAACGAGTTCATTAAATTCGGTTATAAACCTACCCGAATATAATATTCTATTTATTACATACCCGAAATAAAGACTGTTAAAGCGTAAAAAAAATCATTTTTCATCGACGCGTCTTTTATGTAACGTTAACATTTAGTGCATCTTTACATAATGTTTGCATAACACAAATGATGTCACGAGAATATATTTCGGCCATGCACAATTTTTACGGAGTCGCAAAAGCGGCTCGGGTATGTGATTCGCTTTCGTTATTTCTAGAATACAGAAGGAAAATTCTGTTAAAATGGCACGAAGGACCTGTTGGTGACATTGAACTACTCGACCTTACCGTTTATATTTCACGCATTAAGAACTTCATCTTTAGAAAATCATAAACTCCCCATCATGAATTCACGAATTCGTATATTTACGATACAAATCATTAAGTTCAGTTTGTGAAGTTGAAATGGAAAATTCATGAAATGGAAACCATACAGTTCAAAATATCAACTCTGACTTTGAATTCATAGAGTTAAAATTGTGAATTGGTTTAGCTAAAATCGAGGTTTAACGGATTTGAAACGTGATATTATAAAGTTGAAGTAGTAAATTCAAGTTATAATCGTGAATTGATGAAGAATGCCCCTACCGGTCTTCCTTAGAAAAATTGCTGACTTTATATTAATTCAAACTCAACATTTATTAACCGATAACAAAACAATAAAAACATTATCTATGCTGTTTTTTTCTTCGATTTGTTTTTAAAAATAATTCTACTGATAATACATACATGAACGAGTTTGAATATTATATTATTTATTTAACAGTTATAAATGATATTGTTAGTGGACACAGATCTCAGATGTTTTATTTCTATCATACGGTATATCATTTGTAACTCTCTATTATATATGTGTGTGTGTGTGATCAACTATTAGTCCGACGATATTTACATTGGCTGCAGGCAACATGTCGATTATTTGTTTGTATTGACATTTTTATTATTGATATATTAGTTTTATACCGTGAATATTGAACTATATTGGTCCTTTTCACTTACTGAACTTATCTCCGTGAAAGACATTATTCGTAAGTGGTGATACACCAAAAAACAAAACAAAAAATACCGACAGCAACAACAACAACACTAACTCTAAGCGTTATGAGTATCTCGAAACATCAGGTAAACGCAATTGTATTATGTTGGACTGATATGATAACACTTGGCTACATGTTAATACATTTGAGCCGCGTCACGACAAAACCAACATAATGCGTTTGCGACCAGCATGGATCCAGACCAGCCTGCGCATCCGCGCAGTCTGATCAGGATCCATGCTGTTCGCTAACAGTTTCTCAACTTGTAATAGGGTTGGTAAGCGAAACTCATGGATCCTGATCAGACTGCGCGGATGCGCAGGCTGGTCTGGATCCATGCTGGTCGCAAACGCATTATGTTGGTTTTGTCATGACGCGGCTCAAATGTATTGCGATTATTAAGTGGCCGAGTGGTTAATGTCGTCTACCCCCAACTACTTGCTCCTTACCGCTGTGTGTTCAGATCCCGCCATGGACTTTGGATTCTTCCATGTGAGGAAACTATCGAACTAGCTGTGGTTTCTACTTAGGTGCACGTTTGTGCCTCCACTAGTTAAGCTAAAAAACGAAAAAGCACCTTATGTAAGAATATGTAAGGTTGTTAATAATACTATATGTATTTGTTAATTAAAATGAGCCTTTAAAGAGATTCCTCAGAAGAAAGAATAATTCATCTTTAATTCTGGCATGATTTGACATGTTTCATAATAAAATATTATGTTTAGATATATAAATTAACAGATTTTTTTCTACAGACACGCAATAGGAACATCTCGGCTATTATCAACAATAATAGTCCTTATCTTATGACGGAGAATGCCGACAATTCGCAATAGACAAGCACGATTGTACTATACCAATACCTTGTTTTGTTATGATCTGTTTTTCAGTTCTCTATGGCAAATATTGGTCTATCTGTCGAACATACTGACTTAAGGATATTTACATTTTAAATAATAAATTCTAAACAACTAAGTAAATGAATTAAGTCAAATATCGTGCTTTAAGGATATACAAAAAGAAACTGACGGACTACTTGGCATGCTCACAATGAAATCAGGTTAACTTTATCAAACATACAATACGCACAAGTAGGTTCTTTTTTTTTCATCTTAATATTTCTTGTCTGCTTCAACAAAAATGTCGTAGACATAGATAAATACATTATTGTGTTTTGTTAAGAATTTATCGATATATTTGAACTTAATTGTTCTGTTTTTAACTTATAATAAGGTCACAATACCTTTTTACATACAAAAGATTCTATAGTATCAAAGACTAGGATATTTGGTTGAGTATAAAAAAAAAACAACAGAAAATATAACTTTTGTTGGAATAGAGAATAACGAATACATTTAGAATTCATATATTCATTTCCTTGTATGTAAACAAAACATATAACGGGGATTTGCATCTACTTTCACCACTTATTAAAATCTAAACAGGTTCTTTTGTTATATTTTTCTGCCACAGGGATAGAACCTAGTCGCCGTTCTAAAGGCACCAAATAAGCGTGTTTCTACTTTAACTTAAAAAAACGGATACTTTTTGAATTAATAAAGCTACGAGTATGTAACACCGTACTTTGGGGTCAAGCGCACTTTGGGATCCGACCCCAAAGTGCCGACCCCAAAGTGCGTCAATTTCACGATTTTGACCCCAGCTTTTGACCCAAAAGTACGATGCCAGGTTTAAAGCACTTTGGGTCGGACCCCAAAGTGCGTTTGACCCCAAAGAGCGGTGTTACACAGCTACATTGTAATAACAGATCACTTGCAGTGTGAACTGCAACAAAAATCTGACCAAGTAACCATCTTGAAGGTTGTTTGATTAAAGTATACAATCTTTCCATAATAACACGTGCATTTATAACTGCTCTGCTGTGAAAGTTATGTGTACGCGACTATCCAGAAAGGTGCTTGCTATAAGTGTGTTATTTTTCGTTTAATTACATTATTGACTTTTAGCATTGCAACGTCAGTTTTATGTCTTATTGATCTTCTGAAAGTAAATGCAAGAAGTCGATAACAGTTCACATTATTCACTTCATAACTTCATCAATCGTTTGTTACTTTAAGCTCTAAAGTTTTGAGTAAAACAACAAATAGTATTTTCTGTACACCAACTTCTGCCCAACACCCCAAGTTCAACAAGTACCCAATGTTTATGTATTTAAGAAGCATGTAATTAAACTTATGAAATAGCCAAAAAGATTAAGTTCTGATAAACAGTATTGTATACACTGAACCTTTCAATCATTTTTTTAATGTACAGGAGCAACAAAAATACATGAGCTGTAATTGTAGCAGGCCGTTATACACAAGGTAATAACTATTACAATTTCAATATGAAAACTTGCGAACTTCACGTGCAACGAGTCACCCAGTTATAACATACGATATTTATTATCATATATTCAAAATTGACATTATCACTTAAACATATATGAATATCTCAGCAATTCTAATATATCCTAATCACGGATACACAAACAAGAGTAAGTTATGAAATATCCCAGGGAAAACAAGCACATGTTGACGATATATAATATTATATAAAGAATATTTATCTACACAGAAAAGACAACTCTACGCTATTCCTTTTACAAACTTAAACATGCTTACTTCCCTTAGATAACCATGTAATCATGTTTGCTAATGCAATAGAAATATTGAGTGTTAACACCATATA